TTCCCAGTCCCATTCTCCACTGAAATTCTTTTTTTTTTCATACTATTTGTTGAACTTTTTACTTAACATAGAAGTAAACATATACATATAGAGTCAATTGAAAATAGATCTTGGTATAAAAAATAAGATCAGGAATATGTGAGGGAGGAGGAAGAAGGGTGGGAGTATGGGTGGAAGGCCTGGCACTGTTTCTAAATTTGTAGTTATGAAATATATGAAATTTGTAACAATAAAGCTTTATAGTTCTGTATGTAATACTACTGATTTACTTCTATGGGTATAGTTTAAAACTTGTGAGGGAACCCCAAATCCTCTTAAGCCAGGTGGTAAAAATACCATCTTAAGTGTTAAATTGATCGTATGGATAGGATTAAGTGTCTGGTATTAATAATAGAATCAAAAAAGATTGAATACTCCAAGAGGGGAAGCAGTCCACACAGCAGACTCACAGAATGACAATCATTTTAAGTAGCATTCTGGCCTCAGAATCAGCCCCTAAGGAATTCTGATTTAGCTGGAAAATCCAAGAGAGCATTTCAGGATTGGAAAGCTGAGACACAAAAGCAAAGAAAATGTCCTACATGAAGGACCTTGGTGGGTGAGATTCTAGTGGAAAGAAGTGGTGATCAAAGAAGGAGGTACTTTTCTGTGGAGGGAGGAGAGAACTGCTTTGCTTATGGTTTTGTCTAAATACTGACTGAGTTTGTGGATTCAAAAGGCTTTCATAGCCTATGCAGCTCATGTCAAGAGCCTCGGCTGATCACTGATATCATACATAAGCATGTTAATTGCTAAATTAGTAACAGGAGTCACTGTACACTAACTTCCCATGCAGGGCCTCTGTCTTCAATGAGTTGTATTATAACTATTCCTAATTGCTCACAAAAGATGTATCCTTTTGGGTGCATCCTTAAAGTTAAGTTCCTAAAACTTAAAAAAAGAAGTGAAATTAACTTCAAGATACAATGATTTTGAAAAGCCCTTGTCTTCACTGCTGAGAAACTATTTTCTAAGTGTTTATCTTTTTTTTTAACATGTGAACTTTGTAATTAAGGAAAAGAAGACATCCAAAATTTATGAAGAATTAGACTCAAAATCACTTTTAAATACATGAAGAATTTTAGAATTTTTGAAATATAGTTTGTAGAATACTGAAAGTCGTTAGTCTTTTGAACATTTCATTTTGTTAATATAACTCTTTTTTATATTTATTTTATTCTGATATGATCCTTAATTAGGGGTAATGTGGAAGAATGGACATTATGATTCAGTAAGTTAAAGCACCATTGGACTTCCACATCCCATGCCAGAGTGATGGTTCAAGTCCCGACTACTCTCTTTTCACCCAGCTCCCTGCTAACGCATCTGGGAAACAATAGATGATGGCTCAAATACTTTAGTTTCTGCCACCCATGCAGGACACCCAGGTGTAGTTTCTAAATTTTGACTTCAAGCAGCTGTTGCGGTCATTTGGGAAGTGAATGAGTGAATGGGAGATCTAGTTCTGTCTGTCACTCTGCCTTTCAAATAAATAAATAAATCTTAAAAAAAATAATGTTAAGGAAATAAGTGAGCTTTATTTGAACATAACTGAAGTACAGCAGCATTAAAAGCCATGAAAAGGGCACAAAATTTAAAATACATGAGTCTTGCTGTAAAAATTAAATAAATGTGTCATACATCAATACATATTTCTGATTACTAGTAAAAGTTTAAACTGATGATTTAAATATTCTAATATTAAAACACAAAGAATAATTAAAAATGTGTTAAATAAGTAAAATCCATATTGTATAGAATTTAAAATATTTACTGAGCTTTACATAAAATCTATTGACACGTTTTCACATGTATCTTTGTTATGAAGGATGTTGTTTAGCTTTTCCAATGAAATCTCTAAATTCCTGAATTGAATGAAAATTCCAGAAGAGGGAGATATTTACTCTCAAATGAAAAAATATTCTACGTCCCATGTGAATGAATAGGATTCTATCAAATGAGTAGAAGCTGTATACATTATCCTTAATACTTGGGAATCAAAATGCTAAATCTTTGTTGTTAAAGTTTCATTTCACTTTATGAGGTATTATGCGCTCATTTCCTATTCATGAGGAAAATCTGATACTAGCTGATTTTCTTAGTTAAAATGTTCTGTAAGACACTTCCTTAATTATATAAAAATATAATATTTTTTTTTCTTAATTATTTTAATAAGATTTAATGCTCAATCCTTGAAGAAATGCATTCATGAAGAAATATGTTCTTATCATTATGAACAAAAGCTCATTCTGTTAAAACTGTTTATAGTAATTCAGAAGCAGTTATGTGACTATCCTGAAAGACATCTTAAATTAATCATGTAGTATTTTAACATATGTATCTATACATGGACTAAAGATATATTGCTTTTTCCAGTCCTTTTATTTTCAAAAGAAAATATTATTTTAATAAGTCAAGGCAATGAATAATTTTCCATTGTCTTTTTGTGACAAAAAGGGATGACTGACATTAGACATAATGCTATATATTGATATGCTAAATTGCAAAGATGCTATCACTGAAAACACACTTCTCTACTAAGCTGCCTAGTCCCTGAAGCTTAACACTGGCAGTCTGGATCTATCTGGAAAAATAACCATCCAGAAAATCCTGCATTTTATTTTTCCTTCTGCATCTATCTTGATTTGGAATCTCTACTTCTGCATCTCCCCATTCAATTCTTTGAGTTCTATATGAAGTACAAAGTATGTAAACACTCAGTCCTAATTTGTTTATTATTTGCATAAGTATATCGTTTTCACAAATCTTTTTATTTCCCTGACACAATATGGAATAGTCCCAATATTTTTCACAATCGCTCTTTGTCTTTCTGGAAATTATTATAAGCCAAAAGTGGGTGCCCAGCTGCACTTAATTTCATATTATTTTCATCACTTTTCCCCCCAGATTCCAGTTTTATAACTTCAGAACTTCAGGAATATTGCAGGCTGAAATGTCTATCAGAACTGCTGAAAACAGATAAAGATATCTTCAGAGTAACATCAAAACTAAACTGACAGAAAAATTAAATTTTATAAAAAATGTTTTAAACTTGGTGAATTATTGTCAACAGCACTGATACTCTGACATTTGCTCCCAGATTAAGGGTTAATTATCTTCTAGAGCAACAGAAATACTGTACTTACATTGTTATGTTCAATAAAATAGCTTTCTTAGGAAGTTTATATACAAGATAAACAGAAAACTCTGTGAATATAGTTGCTAATGACCTCCTAAACAGACATGTTCTACAAAATTCATAAACAAATCACAATTGCAACTGTTTTCTCAATTTACAATTTAAATGCATAAAAATCACTTATATACAGAGAATCATGTGATGTGTCAATACTTCAATACATTCTATAATGTTGACTTTATAATGATCATCACCAGAGGCTGGAGAGAGAAGGGGGAAGAAGGGTTGATAAGCAGGTGCTAAGTTACAGATAGGAATAAGATATCCTGGTGTTCTGCTGTACAGTAAGGTGGCTATAAATAATGAGGTAGTATGTATTTTCCTTTTTTTAAAAAAATTTTTTTGACAGGCAGAGTGCACAGTGAAAGAGAGAGAGTCAGAAAGAAAGGTCTTCCTTTTGCTGTTGGTTCACCCTCCACTGGCTGCCATTGTGCTGATCCGATGGCAGGAGCCAGGTGCTTCTCCTGGTCTCCCATGGGGTGCAGGGCCCAAGGACTTGGGCCATCCTCCACTGCCTTCCTGGGCCACAGCAGAGAGCTGGCCTGGAAGAGGGGCAACCGGGACAGAATCCGGCTCCCCAACCGGGACTAGAACCCAGTGTGCTGGTGCCGCAGGTGGAGGATTAGCCCATTGTGCTGTGGTGCTGGCCTAGTGTGTATTTTCCTAAAAATAAAATTGCTAAAGGAATTATTAGAGGAGCTATACATATTTAACCTTTTTTAGACATTATACAATTTACTCATTCACTTTTTATTATTTTATTTCACAATCTGTAAGACAATGCCTTATCTTTTTCTTCCCTCATCTTAAACAGTCTTCAATGCTCACTGCACATAATTTACTTAACCTAATTGGCCATTTTCTTCACATGTAGATGTTAGGATCTCTCCCTCCTACTAACTTTGTACCAAAGTTGTGCTCAGTCATAATCAAAGGATAGTGTTGCAATGTCAAGGTGATATCCATATTTATAGATAATATACATAAAATACTCAGAATAAAGAAGCCTGAAAAATTATTCATCTTAAACATGAAAATATCAATATTCCAATAAAAATCCTTCAAGGATTATCAAGTGTATTCAAAATACAATTTAAATAGTTTAGAATGCCATTAAATAATGTTATTATCACCTGGTGACTAGCTGTTACCCTTTGCTGCATAGTCCATTACCCCAACACCCATCATGCCCTAAGATCCAGTCTTGTCATATCAATGCCCTTCATGTCTCACACTCTGGCATGTCACTTTATCTTTATAATTGTGTTTACTGCCTGGAACAAACTAGCACCCAGGATTTTCTGATGAACAAGGTAGTTATCCTTCACACATATCTGGCTTCTTTTCTTTCTGTGAGCTGTCCTTTTCTTCCTAAGTCTGTGTTAATTCCCATGTCGTGTGTTTAATAGTCCATTTACCTACAGACCTGCAGTGCATTTATTATATTAAAACATTTCCCCCCAGTGGGTTGTCAGTACATAGGTACTGTGTCTTTTGTTTACATCGTGCCTTGGAACATACTATTCACCAAGTAAGTAGGCAGTCATTATCTGAGTTTATGTTAATGTCCTTGACTCTTTTGTTCTCCCAATTTAAAATATCTACCCACATGTCAGCTTTATATTTAAAGCTTGTTAAGTTCATGCTGAGAATTCTTTCTTCACTGAGCATTTCAATTTACTATTGCAGTCTTTTTTGCTTTCTCAAATGTATATATACATACACACACACACACACACACACACGTATATATATTTCACTGAGTGGGTACAAGGTTCCTCAAGTTACAACAATACCAGGTCACTATATGGAGTAGTTGTTGCAAATTTCTGTTTTATTTCCAACTCCCTTATTCAAACACCTAATTAGTACATTGTCCTCAGATCATGATTAGACATTAAACTAAGAAGAGATACTACACTTGATCTTAGTCAAAGGATTAATTTATTTTCAACTTTTTTACGATTTATTGTTCATTTATTTGAAAGACAGAATGACAAAGAGATGGAGAGAGAGAGAGAGAGAGAGAGAGAGATATTTTCCATCAATGGGTTTACTCCCCAAATAGCCACAACAGCCAGGGCTGTGACAAGCTGAAGCAAGAAACTTGGAGTGCCATCCAGGTCATCCCCCAAGGGCGCGGGAGCACAAGCCATTTTCTCCTGCTTTCCCAAGCCTGTTAGCAAGGAGCTGGGTAAGAACTGGAACAGTCAGTTCTGGAACCTGCGCCCATGTGGGATGCTAGCATTGCAGGCAGTAACTTTACCCACTGTGCCACAACACCAGCCTCTAAACATTCTAATAGCAAATGTGTTTTTTCTTCCATTGCTTGGTAATGTTTGTTGTCCTTACTTTGAGACTTAAGTTCTTTAACTCAGGTATATATTTCTGCATTATGTTTCTTATGACTTTTTGATGTTTTTTAGGTCAAAACTAGGCAAATAATATATGCTCAATAAATATTGATGAGGTTATTAAAACCGTCACAGAGAACGAATAGATGATAACCCTTGACAAGTCATTTCATTAGATGTTTTTACACACTCAGGAACAAAATTTCAGCTCTCTTTTAAAGGTTTCAAATGTTAAGAGACAAAAATAGTGCCCCTGTACATAAGTGATAGACAGCTGGCTGATAATGTGATGATGAATCATTTGACATTCTTTTCAACTTCTTCCTTTAGAACTCTTAATAAGAACGTGTGCTATTAATCAACAACCAGGCATCCTGCATAGTTTGTGGGTGGATCCCAGAAGAAGCGGCAAAAATATTGTTAGAACAATCAGACTGTCCAACTCTTAGAATTATAATTCAATGTAGAGTTCTAAAATTTTTCATCCATAGGCATAGCAAAAGGTGGACCATATATCATAACTGTCTAGATTTTCCCTTACAAATTTAGTTGCGTGCAGGTAAGGCATTTTCAACCCATCTCCTAGAATCTTTCCTCTCAATGCATTGCCACAAAACAGGCTACCATTTTCCTGTGGGATTTAAGCTTCAAGACCACTCCATATTTTTACTTTTTTTTTCTTTTCTCCGCAGCAGTAGCTTTCCACTACAAGCAGAGCTATCAGCAGTGTGAGCTGAGCTAACAGCTTCGTGTTGAAAGGCTTCCTCATTGCTGGAACAGCTCTGAGGATATGGATTTTTTTGAAGGCTGTGAAGGCAGGATGAACTTCTAAACAGGTTTTTATAATACAAGAATGGGCATTTTTATAAAAATAGATGTTCTCATTTTATCAACTCATATTACCATTTACATTCAAAATATTAAATGAGGAATATAATCTCCAAAGTTCTGCCACTTACAAATGAAACCATACTATAATAGGTTGCCTCCCTCTTGGTACCCTGTTGATAAACTTTGATTGAATATGAATAACACAGCCCCTGTTTTTACCATTCTCTGTGTCTCTACTGCTATATTCAAATGAGTGAAACTCATATGTAATTTTTTAGAATCGAAATTTTTGACACTGTTTTCTGTTCTTGTTATTGAAACTATAATAGCACTTTAATTTTTAAAATATTTATTTTATTTATATTTTTGCTTTTTCACAAAATATATCAGTCTCATATTTAGATAAGAGATCATGTAAAGATAGGCTTAGTTGCTCCAGCAAAGAGTGCTTAGGAATTATTTAATTATTTGAAATCAGACTTACAAGGAGAGAGGGAGAGACAAAGGGATATCTATCTACTGGTTCACTCCCTAGATGGCCACAAAGACCAGGGTTGGGCCAGAACAAAGCCAAGAGCCAGGAGTTTCATCTAGGTCTCCCACATGGGTGGTGGGGACCCAACCATTTGGGCCATCTTCTGCTGCTTTTTCCAGGCCATTAGCAGGGAGCTGAATATGAAGTGAAGCAGACAGGATAGGAAATGGTACCCATAGGGGATGCCGGCATCACAGGCAGCAATTTATCCATTACACCACAACACTAGCACCAGCTTTATTTAATTTTATGTTTTAAGATTGGAGGGTGTTTTTTAACTCATAATGCCTAATATTTAAAAGATTTTCTAGTATCAGATCCTGGGTGAAAGCCACATATTTTGATCTATTGATAGTAAACAGTAATGTGTTTATAAATATAACAACACATAGAGGTATAATTATTAATGCAGACATTAGGATTTGTAGTATTATGTGTCTAACACATCTTGAACAAAATCTCTCCAGCTATTGGCATAAATATGATTCTCTCCCAAATGATGTAAATGTTAAATAGTACTCACCAGTTCCACTTACAAATGATTATATTCTGTGAGTGAATAACCACTTGTTGATACAGATTAGACTGCTAGGAAAATAGAAGATAAAGTTTATGGCTTTCTAATTGTAACTATAAATTATACATGTAATTATATTTATATTGTTTCTTGCTCTAAGTTAAAACAGAGTATATTCTGTGAAAGATTTCATATTTTGCAGAAGTACACTAATATATGTTTCTTTGTCTCATGCACTTGGCTCCCTGACAATCATGTGAGAAACATAGATTGTGTTACACTCTTGTCTTTCCAGGATGTTGTTAGTTTTTGGAGAGTGAATCAGCCAATGGGGAGCTTTCTCTGTCTCTGTTTCTCTCTTTTTCTCTTTCAAAATAAAGACAAATTATAAAAAAGTACCAATAAAAATAATATTCTTAGGATGCCACCAAGCAGCAATTTTACTATGGTAAAGTTCATGATACAAGAGAAATAGAAATAAGGAAATTAGGTTATTCTGAGACCTATGTTTTAATTTTATTTTGAAACTCTGTTATTATATTTTCATATAATAGTAATTGACATGTATTCATTACAATTATGCAGTAATAAACTAAACTTATCTCTGCAAACAATAATACAATTTAAGAATAGTGTGATAATTTATTATAGAATGACTACTGAGACTTTTTCAGTAATCTAATTGGAAGCCAATTGTTCCTGATATTTTATATGGATCAAAATAAAAATGTGAGAAGTGGTTGGACAAGGGACAAAAGCTCCTTTGGGATTTGTTGTAGAGATGTCAACTTGGCATCTTGACAGCCTGAAGACTATAAAGTAAAGCCACTTTCAACCAAGATGAGTGTTTTGAACAAAAGCAATAGAAAGTTTAGAAAAAGAACATCACAATTTCTAGGACTCACAGAAGAGGAGAGACTAAGTACAGAATAAGAAAAATTAGGATGCCTGAAAAAAGGGAGAAATATATTTACGTAGAAATTTTATAAAGAATATTCTGGTGTTTTAATAGAGAGATCAATAAGACTATCACCCAAACATGTGTAGAGACTAAAAAGTGCCCAGTAAATTTTATTGTCAGAGTTTTACTGCAAAATTTTAGTGCATATTTAGTGAATTTTTGGTTAAAAAACACAAATAGCATATGTGGAAGACTATTGTCAAATTAAGATATTACATAAGAGGCATAAAAGATTATGCTATCTGGCTGCAATTATGGTTATAAAGGAAAAAGAGACACTCATGTTCTTACTGAGAAAAGATAACATAGAGATCAGATTCTGAAGAACTATAATGAGAAGTGACAACAAGCATAGGAGAAAAAGCAGAGAATCTATTTCAAAAATCAACTTAGCTGCTATAGGAAAGTCTCAGGAAAGGTTTGGTTTCAATGGGAGCTGAGATATGCCTGATTGTTGAAATCATTCACCATTTAACTACGTTTAATTCCAAGTGTAATAAGAGAGAATGCTGCCTATTGAGAGTACTGGGTAGTTTAGAGAAATCTTGGTTTTGAAGATATTGGAAAGGATTTTAAGTTCTGGTTGTGTGTAAGTACGGAATAGGAACAGCGGTGAGATATAACTGATGAATATTTCCTGAATGCCCATTTGCCAAACGTTGTTAAATTGTTGTGATATAGTCATAAAAGCACAAAAGCAGTGTCTCAGACATTCACCACTGTATGACTTATACAAAGGAAGAGATGTGAAGAAGGATATGTGCTGTGATCTGGAGATTTCAAAGTCAACTGTTGACAAAGAAAAAGTAGCTAAGTGTTTACGTTGGAGAATCTGTATCCTGAGTAGCGGAAGACAAAGATGACTTAGCTAGGTGATTCTAGAACATTAAAAACGAAGACCCAGAGGTGCCTTTAGAAATGATGTACAAATGAGGAGAAAGGGGAAGAGGAAATGAAGAATCGTAAGTGCATGAGGATAAATTCAAACAGTTCCTAAAAATGGAACTAAATGAGTATATTCTGGTGCAGTTTTTTGATCTACATGCATTTGGGTGGTCCTCAAAAAGCTCATGGAAAATGTATAATATGAGAAAATCGTGCATAGTTTTCAAACTGGACCAAAATGATTTTATCTTTTAATTCTATTTCCATGAACTTTTTGAAGTACATACCTTTGTACATGTGCTGGGAAGTACTAATGAGAAATACGACTGGGAATGTAGGCAAATGTGATTTGCTAAATGTTCTATGTGAAATTTAACTGTTTTTGACTGAAATACAGTTAGTAAGGAACCAAAAATATGGTTAGGGTAGAAATTGAAGTTATTAGATTTTAATTAATTCCACCAGGATTACTTTAGTATACTGATTAAAGTGAATTAAATGAAGAAGCAAAAAGATTGTTCCTGGTGCTTTGCTGTATGCCTGGTGAGTGATGTGTGTAACTTACATTTGGAAAACATCAGTGTAGAAAAAGAAAAGATACATTTGAGATATCTTCAGGATTTGGTGATTTGTTGACTTGGGAGTATCTTGTAGGATAATACCAAGGATGTATCTAAAGAATTGTTCATTATCATACAAAAGCTATTGGCTCTTTCCAACAGCAAAAGCATGGTTTAGAAGACAACTTTTGAATGTACCAAAGTTGATGTTACATTTAGAAACCCGAAATTTTTTGCTGTTTGAACACTTTGTTTCAGTGACTTCCACTTGCTTCATAATGTTCAAAAGATTTATTTATTT